GCGCATCTTTCTCTGTGGGCGAAGCAGCTGCATTAAGTCGCTTGCGCTTGACAACCTTCTTGGGCTCTATGGAGGCAGCCAGCGCATCTGAGAAGAGATTCGTTTCCACCAGAGTTGAAACTGCAATAAATTAACAACAATTAACATAAGTAAAAAAAAAAAAAAAAACAGTATATATGGAATGGGTTCAATTCAAAATCTTTACGCACTGCATAGGTTTTTGCTTATGTTGCGAACTGAAACAAATTGCCAACTGATAAGAGACGATTGAAAAAACACACACAACCGGCAGACTGAATGGCTACAAAAAAAAAACCCCCAGCGTGCTGACACTAGCTTTATCTATGAATAAACCCTGTACGACTGACTATATATATATATATAAATGCATACATATGTATAGGTGCAGTTCCCAGCACACAAACCCAAAACTGGGACAAATTTAAAGCAGCTGATTTGGCTCTAAAAACAAAACAAAAACAAAACAAAAACAAAAAAAAACAAAATACACGAAATTGTATGAAACCTTCTGAACACCCCTCGCTGAACAACTGATCCAAGTGATCAACGTGTGGCTTGTGCCATGTTGCAGGCCTTCAAGTGAAAAGGCGGCCAGGTTCTCAGACCTTGGTAGCGTCAATGAACGCGCAACAGAACAGTATTCAATATAATTCTCGATCTTACGCTCATTTTTGCAGAGGCAATTACATACATAGATATCAAATGAATTGGGTTACTTGTCAGAATATCGCTGTGGCCATCATAGCCAGCGTTAACTGTAACGTGCTGTCATCATTTCGGCTACCAAACTTTAAGAACAGCCAGCTCAAAGTTGATATTTTTTGATATAGATATATATTCATCATTTCGTTTAATGCTCCATCATATTTTATTTCAATAGAAAAAATATATTTTTCTAGAGGAAAGTCGTATTTATTTTTTGTTCTCGTTTTTTCATATTATTATTATTTTTTTTTTTTTTTTTGAATTGTATTGTATGTAGTAGGTTAGTAAGCTGCATCTACATACCTTAAAAGCTAAATCATTAACGTGTATTGCATAGATTTAAAGGTAAATGTAATTGTCTATATTTTTTTGTTTGTTTTGTATTTGAGGTTGAGTTTTAATACTTAACACCAAGCCGACTTGTCGCCGCACCGGCTGTCCACTGAAGCGCATGCGCCGTTCAACGTGGGCTCTGCTTTTGCAGCTGAAGCCCCATCCGGGCATCCCAAATACATCCGCTCGCTGAGCCGCTGACGTCTCGACGTGACAGCCTCTCGACTGTCTGTCCATTTGAATACGCAGCTTCCAACTAAATCAAAAAAAATCTACTTCAATTTTAATACGAACTGTCGCCTGACCCAGCGAGAGACGATCAGCTCGCAATAGGCCAATAATTATTGGTTTCGAACCAAACCCCAACATTGCCTAACAATTGAGCAACCCACCCATCAACCAATCAATCGATCAACCCCAAGCGAAAATTAAACTCTTTAAAATGATTTCAACAAAAATACACACAAGTTCGTCTCAAATTGTCGCAAACAACAAAAGCAAAAACCTCAGTTTCTGTAAAGATAAAACAGAGAGATTAGTAATGAGCTCTATGGAATGATGCTTACTCTTTTTGGGCGCTATCAGCTTAACGGATCCCGGCCGGTCGACATGTCCGCTCAGATTGTTGATGTCTATCTTGGGTTTCTTCTCGGCGGGCGTATCCCTGCTAGGCGGTGGGGAAGGTCTCTTCAGTACCGTTGCCGGCGGCAACCCCGATGTGACTGCTGATGTTGGCGCAGTGGATGTCGGCTTCTTGAGGCCTTTGCGAGAGGGTGGGGGTGGCGCCTCCTCGGTGAGACCATGGGAACGAAATTTGGACTGATACGTCTTTACCGTGGCCGTCTTTTCAGTATCACGGCGTATTTCGATCGATATCGATGCCTTCCTACTAGGTATGGGTATCGATTTGGGCTTCTGCACATCGGCATCACCCTCTTTAGTTTTTTTCTCGGATGCACTCGCTGTTGGCGGCGGCATCAATTTATTATCTTTATCATTTTCCTTCTTAGAGGAGGTCGCCGTTGACGACGTTGAAGACGAAGACGCCTTGTCTTTGTCCTTATCGCGACTGCGATCTTTGGACGTGCTAGAGTTTGACGAACTAGAAGATGATGACGATGACGAGGATTTTGACGATTTATGCCTGTTAGACGATGAGGATGAGCTAGAACCCTCTTTGCGATCCTTATCTTTACTCGAGCTGGAACTGGAGCTTGATCGTGCCTTGTCCTTGTCACGATACTTATCGCTCGAGCTACGATGGGACGAAGATGATGAGCTCTTCGAGGAGCTCTTTGAATTAGAGGATGACGAAGACGACTTATGGCTAGACGAAGAGGATCTGTGACTACTAGACGATTTCCTATCCTTGTCACGATCTTTCTCAGATCTCCTACTTTTGTCGCGCTCACTTTTGTGCTTGTCAGCCTCGTCATCGATTTTTGAATCATTTTTACTACTATCATCTAAATTAGTTTTTTCAGCACCATCTAAATGAGCATTAGACTCGGTCCCTCTGGACTCTGAGCCTGTCTCAGATGGTGGTAAGGAACTATCGTCATCATTATATACACTATCTGCGGTTGCTAACGAGGACGCAGATTTGTCAACAGTTTTGATTGTTATAACTATATTGCGTTTGCGCTCGGCCGAAGAAATCGTGTAGTTCTGCTTAACAGGCGCACCGCCGCTGTCTGTGCTGTCCGACGAGCTGTGCTCTATATGCGAGTCCTTCTGATCTGCTCCAGAACCACTTTGCGACTCGACGGCCCCGCTAGGTGAACTAGTTGCTGCTGTACCGTTTGGATTTCCAGTAACAATTTTAAGCCACTGCTCAACCAGCCGCTTAGCCAATATACGAACACCTGAAAATGGCAAGAGGAAAGAATCGGTGCAAATACCCATTGTTTGGATTAGTTATATTATGCAATAAATTATGTTGTAATGTAAATTCTAGTCGACCCACACTTACCTTCATTGCCCCCATCTTTACAAAGCCCCTTGACCAAAATGGGCGCCGAATTTATTTTTAATCTATTTACATCAACAGGAGAAAGTAGCAAGAGTTCAAGAATTTCTTGTACGAGCGGCCAGTTCATTGTACGTATCGCATCACTCAGCCAAGTGCAGACCAAGGCCCAGCCACCAACAGTCATAAAATCTCCAAGTAGTTCAGTTTTAGTAGACTTTAAAATTTGCACGTAAACGCATTTTGAGACTAGCTTTTTTGAATATTTCGTCATTAACCTATAAAACAAAACGAAAAAAAAATTAACGTTAGAGGGCGCCTTGTTGATTTCCAAAATATTTGACAACTTACCCAGCTATCCGTTTTACTTCTGTCGCACTAAGTATACCACCGTTGGTATCCAAAAGCACCCGCAGGCACTTTAATAATTGTAAGGGCACTATGCGCGGCTATGAAAAAAAAAAAGAAAAAAAAAACAAGAATATAATTGTACTATAATGAAATCATTCAAATAAAGTGCCTAAAACAGAATAACTCACCATATTTTATTTTTAAACTATATGGCAACGCCAAATAGCAAACACACTACTGTCGTCTCTTTCTAACGTAAAAGTTGATATATAAACACCACGATTATTACGTAATGCACCAATTTTAGGCCATCAATTTGCAATCTTTTGTTGATTCAGATCTAAAAACGTAAAGAAACACCACTCAGTATTTATGCACATACAAATCATACTTATTAACTAATTTAACAACACTTTGCAAACCAGGCTACCTAGCGACGCAATAAACTTTTATATTCATATGGAATATTTTCGTACATATGTATAATCCATCACCTAAAGTCGCCAAATAATCACCAAAGGCCATCAAATTTTAGATGGACATGAAAGTTAATTTCTATAATTCGACTGGACCAATTTCATCAGCGATTCGATTGTGATAAAAACGTGTTTCGCGTTCTAATGCTCTTTTCGACCATGAAGTTGTGAAATCAAATCGACTAAATGCAATCGATACTCGAAAAAGAACATGCAGCCCTGCATTGAAACTGACCATTCGCTCGAAAAAAACAAATTTGATATTTTGTATATATAATGAAATATGCTTCTATACCAGTTGTTATTGTAATGATTGTATTTAACACGCGCTTGATTTGTTTGTTGAAGCCTCCTAGCTGCAAACAAATTTTTGTTTCTCGATACTCTTTATTAGAGAAAGTTGGCAGCGCCGTAACGTAGCCACGTAGACGCTTCGACGCCATATTGATTTTTCACTAAATTGATCACTAATACGCAATATGCGAGAAAATATATATTTTAACGATACAATACCAATGTTTTCCACTTGAAATGATAGAACTACCAAATTAAATCAACTTTATGCAAATTTTCCACGTCACGTCCACGCCCCCAAGTGGTTTTCTTTGCATTTATTCCGACACACTTCGCTTTACGTATATTGATGAAATTTTTACAACAATGCCTACCAAAAATTAATTCAATTCAATTGTTTGTATACAGAGTTTTCTTATTTTTAATGTCGACGAATTTTATAAATTTATTGCGTCTCAAGTTATATGCGAAAGTGAAAGTCCGTTCCTCAACGAAAATTACATCGACCAAACTCACCCAAAAGCAACAATAGAATGAAAACGGAATGGACAAATTTCCTTAAACACACCTTGTTTCAGAATTTATCGATATTTTTAAAATGGGACGAAGTTCGATAAGCTTTGGCACTGCGCCGCTACGTCACAAATTATTGGGAAAAAAACAAAAGCTTATTTAATTTACAAGCTTAAGCAATTTACATGATTAAGGAATCAAATGAAAGGTTTTTTAATTCTATCCATCCAAACAACCTCGTATGTGTTAAGTAAAGATGCCGTTATTGCTATCGATGGTTGAGTACGCAATGGATGCTATCGATTATTGTTATACGGGCACTCTTGATAGGCAGCTGTTCAAAACAAACGTGCACGGCCAAGTTTCTGAAATTAAATTCCATTTAAAAAGGTTTTTTCTGAACTCAAAATATGAGCGACAATGAAAGTGAGGGACCCACTAATCAAAGCACGGAGCCTGTGGACAATGCGTGGTCATTGAAGATACCCGCATTCAAGCCCGAAGACAATCCACATGGTCTGGTTGAGGAGAGCTCCTTTGCCACGCTCTTTCCAAAATACCGTGAGAAATATTTAAAGGAAGTTTGGCCCCTAGTGGAACAATGTTTGGCCGAGCATCATCTCAAGGCCGAACTGGACCTGATAGAGGGAAGCATGGTGGTGAAGACGACACGCAAGACATGGGACCCATATATCATCATTAAATCCCGTGACATGATCAAACTGATGGCACGCAGCGTGCCCTTCGAGCAAGCGAAGCGTGTCCTGCAGGACGACACCGGGTGTGACATCATTAAAATTGGTAATTTGGTGCACAAAAAGGAAAAATTCGTGAAACGGCGTCAGCGCCTCATTGGCCCCAATGGTGCCACTCTAAAGTCCATTGAGCTGCTCACCGATTGCTATGTCCTGGTACAAGGCAATACAGTCTCGGCTCTCGGTCCTTACAAGGGACTGCAACAGGTGCGTGACATTGTACTGGACACCATGAACAATGTGCATCCCATTTATAATATCAAAGCTCTGATGATCAAACGCGAATTAATGAAGGATCCCAAGCTTGCCGGCGAGGATTGGTCACGCTTTTTGCCCAAGTTCAAGAACAAGAACATTAGTAAACGCAAGCAGCCCAAGAACAAGAAGCCCAAAAAGGAGTACACACCATTCCCGCCCCAGCAGCCAGAGAGCAAGATCGACAAGCAGCTGGCCACGGGCGAATACTTCCTCAACAAGGAGCAGAAACAGGCTAAGAGACAACAGGAACGCACTGCAAAACAAGCAGAGGCAGCCAAGAAACAGGACGAGCGTCGCAACAAGGACTTTGTGCCACCAACCGAGGATACGCCCGGTCCATCTCGCAAGCGCGCTGCTGAGGATAATAAAGTCGATGTGCAAGCTTTGAAAGCCAAGATAATTAAAGCGAATAAAAATAAGAGAAGTTGATCTATAAATAAGTTTCTAAGCTATAAACATTTTCATAAAAACAATAAAAATAATGTTAATTAATCTAGTTGACCAATTGTTTAAAACTTATATTTTATCTGAAATAAGAAGGCCATCTTCAGTGGGTTTATGCAGTAATTTTCTTTTCTATACACATACATATATATTTATCATATATGGCATGAATATATTTAACTACCTGTGCAGCCTTAAAATCAGATTAAGAGAAATGTACATATACTTAATAACACTGATCACAAATACAATTTGCAAATGAAGTAAAACTTTACAGACTTGTAAATAGATAACAAACCTATAAATAAATATGTAAATTTAAATATAACAATATTTTATTAGTTGGGTACTCATAACGTATTTATATTTATTATAAATTGAGTATACTAGGTGGCAACGCTGACGCCCTCTCACTCTCCGAATGCCATCGCTCACTGTTGCGCTCTCTCAGCACAACGACTGACACTTTGAGGCTTAGCTCTTGTGGCTCTGGTTAACGGAGCTAGTGCTAGCCGTGTTGAGTTAGCCAAGTTAGTATCTTGATTTTGGTCTGGCCTGACGTACCAAACGCGGCCACAGCGGACAACGCGTGTGCTTTATAAATGACTACAATTACGGCGACAACTTATTTCCTTTATTTTCCATATAATTTGCAAACAAGGAGTGTGAAATAATAATTAAATCAGTGTTTAAATTACGCACGCAGTTGCGTATGTATAAGCCAAAAGCAAGCTTTGATTAATATAAAAAAGTGTTGTAAAAATTGAGAAGAACGAACGAAAGTGGAAAGCCAAAATAGAAGGAAGGCGGACGAGAATACAAAAGCACAACAAGTAAACGGCAGGTAAAACAATAAAGAAAACAAAAAAGTTGTGGACGAGCGGCTCTGTTAAGCTGGGATTGGAAGTGTGGAGGGAGGGAGATAGATGTCAAGTGTGAAAGAAAGAAATTAGATAAAAGCGCAAGCCCAATTACAGTTAGTTTTTATGTGTGTGTGTGTGTGTTTTTTTTAATGAAAATAATAAGCCAGCGTTAATGTCTGTGAAGAGTTTAATGGATGAAATGCGTTAAGCATGCCCTGCCTAACACAATCAAATATTTGAAAAGAAAAAAACCAGTTAAAAATATTCGTATCGAACGTGACAACAAAAATTCGAAATTCGTGCTAATTAGCAAAAGAATGCGCTAATATGAGAGTGAGAGAGGGAAGATGCGCTATATTTGGCTGTAGAATGTCTGTGTGTGTGTGTATTAGTTATTGATAAATGTTAACAAGGCAGAGTTGTATGTGTGTGTCTGTACAGGTGTGACATATGTACACATATATATGCACACACTTAAATAACAAATTTGCATTCGGTCAATTAGTTTAATACTCAATCAATTATTCGAACGATAAAGTAAAACTATATAAAACAAAAAATGTGAAAAATGTGAACTTTTATCTTTTTTTTATGAGAAAAAAAGAGAAAAGTAATAAAAAAGTTTAAGAAATATGTACACTCTTGACATGCCGCATTCAATAAATATTAACATATCTGCATATCAGATAAACAATTAAATAAAGCGACCAATTATAATATATAAACACACACACTTACATATGTACATGAATATATGGAGGTAACAGATAGCGCAGGTCGCTATGAATTAGTGAATGAATTGAACAAAAGCATTGAAAATCAATACGAGAAACCTGCCGCCGCTCCCAGTTTGTGTGCATACCTCTACCTTTGGTTGGTGTTATTGCCCATGCTATGTACGATACAGACACACACTCATATATATATATACAGTAAGGTATTCGTTTTTACATATGTGTACCTAACAGTAAGCGGCCACTTGTGTGAGTGCTTGTGGAAAAAATCATAAAAATATCAACAGAGCAAGAGAAAAACAGGTGGAAAAGAAAGCTAAAAAATGCGGTCGTCAAAAAGTAAAGTTGCAGCAGACGCAGCGGGGACAAATCCGAGTTACCTTTTTAAAGCGCACACAAACAAAAAGACAAACATACACAAGCACACACACATAGACGCTCAAGCAGAATTCAAGTAGGAGAGCCGAGAGTCTCACTCTCGGCGCACCTGGCAAGCGGTGGTCACGCATGCGCATGTGTTTGAACGGGATGGCGATAGTGTACTTGCTTGGGGTGTCGGTGTCGATGTCTCCCCATTTGTAACTGAGCCGAGAGTCTCACTTGTTCACAAGCTGGTTTTTCACAGGGGCACACCAACAAAAACAACAATAAACAACAACAATAACAGCAACAACAACAACAACAAAAATATCTAAAGCACACTTAGCAATAACAAAAACGTTTGTTGTTTTGCCATTTGTCTGCTCCATTGGAATGTTTTTTAGATAAACAAAAAAAAAAAACTGAGAAGTACTGAAAAATAATATATACATATGTAAGTCAGGCAACGCCGCTTATCTGTGTTATTACTCATACATACACTAGCAGGGGGATGCAGCTTAAGTCATTCACATGCATAGATACGTATATATTTAAACGTGCATACATACATACATATAAGTAAGTACATTAAGTGTGTATATACTTTGATGTTAAAATTTTAATTCCAACGTCTTGGTAACTAAGACGAATGACTTTTCCTACTATCAAAACAGTTGCTTATCACGACTTTATTAATTATCTGTACTTAATGAATGGCTGCCTAGCCGGCCGGTCGACCGTTACGATATTACTGTGTCTTTACGACGCCACCGCCACACATACAGCAAACGAAATAAGATTCATAATGATAGTAGGGCGAGTATACTACTTACTTCATTATGCTCTGGACACTTTTGTTAGTTAAGTGTGATAATTTTTTATGGCCCCCATTCGTCAACGTTGTCTTTGCCCTAAGCATAACTTGTGCTGTAAATCTGTCAACCAAAGGAAAAACAAAATCAAACTAAATATGTGTATATCCACATACATACTTTGCCGATGATGCAATTTGGCATGCGAGAATATAAATAAGCCAAGTATAAAATACATACATATCTATATAGTTTGACTCTAACATTCAAATTATAAATTCCCACACACATATATGTGTATAACTATGCACATGTGTGTACAACTATGTATGTGATCGTCTGTTACTGGGCATCCGGCGCAGTCGCCGTCGGCACACGCCTAAGTAGTTGCTGTCACTTAAGTCGAGGGAGCGGCTGTTTGCAAAGTGTGTTTGGGTTTGTGTGTGTGACTGTGTGTGTGTGCGTGCAGGCGAGAGAGCGGTCTGTTTCGTGCTCTTTGCGATTTGGCAAACTGTTGAGCGCGACAGCGAAAGAGATTGGAAGAGGGAGAGCGGTAAGGTTGCCAGAGGCCACATAGACAAACAGGTAGATTCTATACAACTGACAAACTGACAGCTGGGCTCAGCTTTTGACTGCGGGGAGAGATGGGACGGGGAAGCGCGATTTTTAAATTCCAAAGCTGCGCGACTGCGAACGAAATGTTAAAGTTTGAGAATGGCTACTATACGCTGCTCGCATTTTACGAATGGAGTAGTTTGGTTTCGAATGTCTAATCTTTTCTAATGTATTTAAAAACTATTTTTTTTTTTTTTTTTAATTAAAAATTGCATTATAAATAAAAAATAAACACAATAAATTCGACAGTTATTAAGCGAGCATTATAAATAATTTATTTAAAACCAAGCCACTATCTTTATTGTTGCTATCATTCGCTATAGTCGATATTTGAATAGTCATTGTCTTAGGGGCACGACCTTTGCGTTTAAAGCAATTTAAATATATTACAAACAGACTTGTGTAACGTGTAACAGAGTATTGCGTAGTCGCTTACACCTGTTTTAACATTTGTACTTGTTGCGTTTGTACCTTGTGTTGAGCATGGAATGTGGCCTGAGTCAGAGCCGCAACCACTGCGCAATATTTAAAGCCACAAAGCAAGCTATTTGGCTGGCTGGCGGACTGACGGGCTAAGGTGGATGCTTATAGTAAATTCCGACATTTTCACTTTCAGCAAGTGAGTCCGGATAAACATTCACATTCACCATTGCCGAGATGGTCAATCATCATTCAAATGGTGGCGGCAGCGCCGGCAATAGCAGCGGAGGCGCCCATGGTGGTGCTGGCGGCGATTATTCCGGCGACGATCGCAGCGGTGGCGAGGAACGAGAGCGATTGGATGGCATGGATTTGCATGATAAGCCCACATATCTGCTCGAGCACCTGGCCACATTCACCGTGAACAAGGAGTCGGGCATTGTGTATCCAGCGGACGGCATGCGTCGCCTGCTACAGTTGGAGAAGACAACGGGCATTTGGTCGCAGAAGATGCAGCTCTGCTTGGACTATCAATGGGTGCTCATTATGGATTACGAGACGGGGGTACGTAAATGGAACTGAAGCTAGCGATAAACTTTATTAACGAATGTTCTCTAATGAGCAGAACATAATCGAGAGATTTCCCGCCTCGCTGGTGCAGGAGCCAACAGCCTTCACATCTAACGATGCCATGGAGCTTTACAATAATATACTGGTCTTTATTGTCTCGGGCGGTGGTGGTTCACGCTCCGAAATGCACATATTTCAGGTGAGTAATCCGCTGAATCCTTAGAAAGTCACGCGAATTGATTCAATTTCCTATTTCCCCCGCCAGTCACAAAGCGTTTCTGCTGTTCATCTAGTGGAGGATTTGAAGCAGTTGCGCAGCGGTAAAATGATCACACAACAGCGTGGTGCCACGCCCACACAGCATACGAGTGGCGCCTCCGGCTCTGGTATGGCTGGCATGATGATGAGCAAAACATCGTCCTCCTCATCGCATAGTCGCATCGAGCACCATCATCAGCGTGATCAACGGGATCGGGAGCGCGGCAGGGATCGGGAAAGGGAAAGGGAGAGGGAGCGGGATCTGCATGTGCAGCATCATATGCATCAGCGCAGCAGCGTGGATCAGTATGGCATGCGAGGCTCTGGAGCTGGCGCTGTCACTGATGTGGACATTGGCCCGAATGGCGAGACAGACTCGGAACATGGCTGCGTCAATGATCGCGACGAGACAAGCTCCACGTCCAGCGAGAAATACGAACGGGATGTGGCCGTGCTGAATCATTGTTTCGATGATATCGAGAAGTTCATTGCACGACTGCAGCACGCGGCGGCTGCCTCCAGGGAGCTGGAGCGACGTCGTCGCAATCGCAAGTCAAAGAAACGTGATCCTGGCGAGGGCCTCCTCACGTTGCGCACCCGGCCGCCGCATGAAAAGGAGTTCGTGGATATCTTTGCAAAGTTTAAGCTTTCGTTCAATTTGCTGGCCAAGTTGAAGGCGCACATCCATGATCCCAATGCGCCGGAGCTGGTGCATTTTCTATTCACACCCCTGGCTCTCATCGTGGAGGCATCCAGCGACACCTACTACGAGTCGCAGCTGCCGTCGCGCGTGGTCAATCCCTTGCTCACCCGCGAGGCCATCAATTTGCTAATCAACTGCGTCACCAGCAAGGAGACCGAGCTGTGGCGTTCCCTGGGCGATGCCTGGGTCATACCACGCGACCAGTGGAAGGAAGATGTTGGCTCCTATCATCCGGTCTTCCTCGATGGCTGGTCACCCGATTACTTAGTCATTGACGAACTGGAGGCCACATCGCCCACGCACGTCAGCAAGCGTCGGCTCGATGTGCAGCCGGGTCCGGGCAGCCACCTGTCCGGCCTGAATGGACGTGGCGCCGCCGGCGGCTACGATGACTACGACACGAATGGCATTGGCATCTCGCTCAGTGAGAAGTACACCATACACCATGGCAACGATCGGGATCGTGAACGAGAACGAGATCGATCCGGTGCAATAAGTGCCTCAGATTTCAATGCACGCAGCGAGCTCTCCTTTGACTCCATTGAGCGTGGCAGCGGCGGCGGCGGCGGTGGTGGCATTCCCTCCAGTGGTGCTGGTCATGGCCCCACTGCTGGACCCACACTCAGCGCTATTACAGCGGGTCTACAGAATTTACACACACGCGACTCCCGCAACGTGAGCAGCTCAGGCGGCAACTACGGAGCGAGCGGCGTTGGTGGCGGCGTCTCCGAGATATCCGCCGTCACAGCACGTGGCGTGGCCAATGCAAATGCTAGCGAGGATCAGCTGCTGGAAGCCTGGCTAGAGGATCTGCAGGCATCGGGCGCTAAAATTGTTCTGGTCACCTACCCACGCACTGCCAACAATGACAAGGAGCTGAGCGTGATGCGCGGTGAATACTTGGAGGTGGGTTGACGATATATAAATATATGTGTGTGTGCGGGGATATATTATGAATTGATCTATGGGCCAAACATTTTCGTGCGTCGTACGCATTTTCCTCAAGTGAATTCATTTATAGAACTAATTTAGGCCAAACGATCGTAAATCATCTTAAGAAATTTATTAATTATCGTTTAAGCAGTATATAGAGTTACTCCAAGTGGTAAAACAATTTATAGATCTACTTATACAAAGTATCGCGACTTTTTTAAAGTATTTATTTGTTCAACTTCAAACTTGTCCAGTTTTGAGTCGTCCCCATTAGATATTATAGACTGGTGTCAAAGGTTTTTCCAATTCTCAGTATTTGTAACATCTTTCACTTATCACATTCCTTTTTTACTTACATGCTCTGTTTTCTGTATTCTAGATTCTGGATGACACCCGGAAGTGGTGGAAGGCGCGCAATATACGCGGCCAGGTGGCCCATGTGCCGCACACGATTGTCACGCCCTTCAATTATGGGGACGGGGACGGCGGCAATGGTCAGTTCTATGGCCAACAACAACAGGCGGCAGCGAATAAGTCACGTCACATGTCACCATGCAATGTGGTAAGTCGGATCTCTAAATCCAACTATATCTCAGTTACTTAACAGTTATTTCCCTTTACTGCAGGATAATCCCAGCATGGATCAACGTTCGCCAGATGCCACGGATATGATACGTAGCAAGCACCTGGGAAAGAAGGGCGAATTCCGTTACTTTTAAGAAAACTGCTTTCATAATGTAATCCAATATGAACGAATAGTTGATCCTGACCTACGAACAGAATTTGAAAGGAATTAGCCCTACTTAAAAGCCTAGTTTGTAGCTCCGTTTCGATGTGTATATGTGTGTTTTATTATCAAAATGAAAACTCGAAACTAACCGTAAGACTAACTATAAGTTGTACTTCATCGAAGTTTAGCCAAACACACACACACACACACTCAGCATCACAGTAGAGTGCCCATACCATATGGTATATACATATTGTTTATAAAGAGAGTGGGACTGGCGGTAAAAGCAATCAATTGTTTAATAAAGCCTGGTCCTTGCAATAACTAAAGGAACCTAAATAAATAAAAAGTTGATTTAATCGTTTATCAATAATTCAAATGTTTTTATACTCATTCACGAAAGTGAATCAGTATATTGGTTTTGTGCAATGTCCGTCTTGCTGTCCGTCCGTCTGTCCGTCTGTCCGTCTGTCCGTCCGTCCGTCTGTCCGTCTGTCCGTCTGTCCGTATGAACGCAATCTATTTCGGCGCTATTGAAGCTAGAGACTTGAAATTTGGAACACATACTCGTGTATATCTCCGATTTATAAAGTGTTAAAATTTTCCCGATCCGCCCACTAGGGGCGTGGCAANTTCAAATTTGGATAGTTGAGTTACTGGTAGCCTCCTCTATCGATTCCCCAAAAATAATTTTTACGCCTCTTTAGGGGCGTGGCATATCGAAAAATACCCTGTAATTTTCACATTTTTTTAGGGTAAGCATTCAAACTTTGCAGTTAGGGTAACGTTATCTCTTTCTAAAAACTGACCAAAAATGAGGTGTCTACGCCCAGTTGGGGCGTGGCAAATCGGAAAAACCTGTATATTCTACAGTATTAAAACGAAACTTAACTACTAAATTGTTGATGGGATGTGAATGAGTATTCCGCAGTCGGTAACGCCCGACTGCAACGTTCTTACTTGTTTTTTTTTGTATACATAGGCTATTGTTGTCTTACAGCTGGTATATATGGCTACATATACTATGGCTAAAATATTATTTATTGCTTCTAATGTATTCTAGCTCAATGGCTAGGATAAACTCCATTAGCAGGAAATCAAGGCGTATTTTTCAATATTTTTTAAAAACATTTTATGTAGCTCGTGAAGAGCTCTCTGTTTTATTTTCCGTATCTCCTTATCATTTTTAGTATTTGTAGCATAAAGGATTTCTAGTCATTTATAGTTATTAGAGAGATCACGTTTCGTATATCTTTGGAAGGTTGAAGAAAATAATAATACTCTCCAGGACTGCCCTTGAATGAATTAGATTTATTTAATAAACATGCTAGACTACAGGTAGCTAATTAACTGGTGTATTAGAAAAAAATGTCAACGATTGCAGCTAGAGAGATTCCAAAATCCGACAATTCCTTTTTAGATTATCGACAATTTCTCCACACGCGAGAGCAATGGGGAATCCGAGTGATATTCCAAGCTTCTGACCGAAAAGTCACCCGATTCGTTGGTGAAGCACTTGAGCGTGGAAATGGAAAATGGACGCAAGGGGAAATTGTAATAGGTAAAATATTGTCCATTGACGGCAATAAGGAACGAGCGATCGCCAATGCCAAAGGCGATCTTAAAGAGTTTGCCACGTACAAACGGAAATTCGCCTTCAGTTTCCTCGTCGTCTGGAGCATAGCTGTACCGAGAGATAAAAAGAGAGATTCAGATATTGAATATAGAAATGAATATTTGCACCCACCTGTTGTCCTCGCGCTGATAGGAACGGGATACGGTCATCCTATCGAAGTTCACATGAAACTTGAGCACCATGCGACCCGTATCGTTGCACTGGAAACAAATGGAAAACTCCGTTGTGGGTGGACCCTTGGCAATGCACTCCATGGCCACAACGGTGCCCGTCTCATAGCGCCTGGGCACATCACTCTGAAAGGCCACACGATCGACGCACATCAGGCTGCGAGGAAACACCAGGGGGAACAGCATGCGATGATGGAACTGAGTGATCTTCTCGAAATCCCCATAGGCACGCACATAGTTGATTTGCTTGGGAAATTTGACGAACTCGAACGAACCATAAAGTTGGTCATTCACATAGATCTCGAAGCAGCGCTGCAGTACGGCTACGCGAAAGGTGAAGCACTGACCCGGCACTAGCGGATTCTTGGGTCCGTCACACTTCCAATTCTTGGAGATCTCCTCCTGCTGCCAGCCCTCGCCTGGCTGGAACATGCTGCGAATGATCTGACCTTCGCGAAAATTAGCCTCGATTTTGAGGAAAACCGTCTCGCTTTCATTCTGAGCATTCACATTGTCCGTCAAATCCAACGAGATTCTGCAAAGATTTCCATTTACCACCTCACCGATATTGAAGAGTTAGCAAAATGTTTGTTGCCTACTTATTGGGATGCGGCTTGACTTTGCCGCTAAGGATGAGCACATGGCCGAATGGCACCTCCGTCAACACTTTAGCCTTCCAGATGTTCATTGCGATTCAACTGCTGCAATGCAACTGATTCGTTGATTCGTTCCTTCACTCAGCTCGCAGACATTTTGTGCCTTTGTGTAGCTCTGTTTTATGTGATGTTATATGCTAATAGATTTGCCATTCATTGGCTTTCTACATTTATTATCATTATGTAAAGCGAAATGAAGAATTACCTGCAGCCGCATGCAAACTTGACATGGACACATGGTAAGGTTAACCCGTCATGGAAGGACCCTTCCACGACCCCTTACACAGGCCTATAGGCCTCTGGGCCGAAGCGTACCCGCTCTTGACTGCACTGAACTGAACCTTGTGCCTTTATTTATTTGATTCAATCCTTGCCTTTGTAACCCATAACTGTCATCCTGAAGCGCTTTTCACGGTTGTTGGCCTTACGCCGACGCCGACGCCGACGCCAGCGCCCCCGCCTCCTAGCCAAATTATTAGCCAGTTACCTGGGCTATTGTTGTTGCGTGTCTTTCAGCGAAATAAAACAAGGCAACAATTGATTCCCTGTCTAAAGTTTTTGCATTTACCAGCTAGCAACACGGCCCTAAGCTCTAGGCCACTCATCGTCATCGTCGTCATCATCATCATCATCAACAGCCTTCTTGGGGCTCTCTTTTGGACAGGGAATTCATTTTCGTTTCTTTTGACGTTTCTTGGCACCCACGCCTCCTCGACGCCAATGACATCGAAGTAGTTGCTCGATTCGCATCTAGTGGGAGTAGTCGATTATATGTATATACATATAAATATATATATATATATATAGAATCGGCACGTCCTCGTCTGTCGTTTGCACCTGATCGTCGTGTAATTGTGTTTCAACAAGGCACTTCGAGGCTCTACGAGCCTCACGCTCTGCAGGGCTCCGCAGATAGCTCCCAAAATAGTAATTTAGTTATGAATCTGTTTGGCAATTAATAAGCAAATCGTAATCATAAATTCAACTATCCACTTGTTTATAGTTCATTGAACCCTCCCCCCGGGGCCTGACCTTGTCGACCTCACCTCCAAAAAAACGAAGGGCTGGCACTGCCACAGAGCTACAGCTAATGAAGTAATCGTGTCGATTTCAACTTTAATTTCCGCTTGTCACTCGGGCTGATAACTCGAGCAAGGTTCTGTGTACGTTGCACAATTATCAGTTTCCATTTCAGTTTAAAAACCCTCACGCCCATATATATTCGTATGTATTACACATATATCGACATACATACATATATACGACAAGCCACGTCGTCGATGAACATGCATTAGCTTAGGGGCCCCGAGATTCCCTGCCTCGTTATCGTCAATACAACCCAAATAAATCTTACAACCGTACCTCAGGCATGTCGAATTACTTTAAAGCAGCCAACGACACGTCTACAAAAAAAAAATCAGATTTTACACTCGCCCGACGGGACGGGCGCTGTTAGGGGTTAGGGCTATGGCTAGGGGGTGTATATCGTGCAAAGCAATAATGGTAATAGCTTTATGGCCTATGCTATGGCTGTCCATAAAAGTGCTCACTAAAACAGTAGCCCAACTCGATCGTCAATATATTTATATTTATATATAGCTATTGCTAGAGTATCGATAGAGAGTTATAGCTGCTCTCCCTCTCTCTTTCGCTCTTTCGGATTCTATACGGGCGGCGCAATCAGTTTAATGTTCAGATTAGGAGCTGACTGGCTTGCATATATCGCGTATCAGTGTCATTATCAATGGAAGAGAGAGAGAGAGAGAGAGAGTGAGCGAGAGAGCCTCAAGCTGTGTGCAACTTGTATGTGATTGATTGTAGAGGTAACGGTTTGCTTATCTCTGGCAGCGATTCTTCGCTCAGGTGGCAATAAACGTTACCCAGTCTAGGGCTCGCTGCTCGATCGAATTCTGATTTGGCAGTTGATGACGTTGGCAAATAGCCAAAAACGATTCGGACTTAACTGTGTAAATTAGTTAGTAACGTTACACACACACACACATATATAATAGAGACACCTGGCCAGGTGGTCGCAGGTGGTCCACCACGTGGCGTTTTATCGGGCATGAAAATAACTTAAGCCAAACGAACAAACTTTTTGCAATGCTTTTCGAACAGTTTGCATTCCCTTGGCCCAAGTAATTCGCAGCCCCGCAGGAGCACACATTGAACAGGAAAATGCCGCACCGTCTGATCGCACTCAAAGTGTCCATTGATTGGGATTGGATCGTAACTCCTCTAACGATCGCACCTGGGCAGCGCGTGGCACTATGCACTTGTCGCGTATCGAAACGTAACTGAAACGTTGGATTTGTCGATGAAATTTAAAACGTCAACGCTGCTTGGCGGGCCACGAAGTTGTCGATCGCTCGAACCGAGCGAGTGCTCCCTGGGCTGATATGAATTGCAAGAGCTGGAGCACACAGACAGGCACCAGCGCGCACACACACGCACACATCTGCGCACCTGTGCAGATGGAAGGAGGAGGAGGAGGAGCTCTGAGTGTGTGTGTGTGTAGCCAAGACAGAAAGCAAATAAATATGAAATATTGAACGCATAAATGTGGGACAAAAGTGGGTAATTTTTTATATATATTTTTTTGTTTGTAGATAGCAATACGACAGAGTCTACAGGTGTGCAGGCGATACCTGTGTGTGTGTCTGTGTGTGTGTGTGTGTGTGTATTGACTATTAAGCTGACGATACCCAACTGGAAATGCAGTCCTTGATCAGTAGTAGCTCACTCTAGTTGCCATGTCAGCCTGATATGCTCACTGACATGTCAGCGAATCTGTCATGCTGCTGAGAACACAACTCACTTAAAGTAAGAAAAAAAATTGAAGTCTTAAGGGTTGAAGAATTATATATGCTAGAATAAGAACTCAAGTCAAACATAGATTTAATAAAATACAAGTGTGGTAATTGATATGATATTATATATATTGATGTAATATAAAGTAGTTTTTTTTTTAAGATTTTTTTTTTTCAAGTAGCAAAAGGACAGTGAATTGTTAATAAAAATACAAATAAATAATAAATGAGAGAATATATTTAACTTGGGAAGAAAATATACAGTAGGTAAAACCCTATAAAACCCTAATTTTGCAGTAAATGTCTTAAAAATGAAAATAATTAAATTTGTAAATAAACGTTTGAGCTAAGACATAATATACATACTCTATATAATATGGAATAATAAAATTTATTAATATTACCTGTATTATCCTATCTCTTCTTATATGCATTATGAATCAGCTTTAGCTCAAAATGATTTCATTCTATCAGCTCAAAATGATTTCTACTTTTCAAATTTATGTAATTCTAGTATTAAGGCATATAGCTTAATAATTGAGATCTTACAACCATTCTATGAACAGCCGCTAAGCCCGTTAACTTCAATTTGAAAACTTTATTAAGCAAACCTCGTATAGATAGCTCTTATGACCTGAGGATAAAAAATATGTAAACAAATTTTTTTTAAATAAATTTAAAATTTTGCAAAAACAAACTCCGCATACAACATAAGAGATATATGTATCTGCCTGAGTGCCCCACTTACAATCACAGCGAACCTTCAAAAAGACTCCTGCATAAAGCTAATGTCACTTAGGCCCAATCATGTTAAGGTGCTCCATAGCTGATTGACGCATTTTCCACTGGGCCTAGCTGCACTTGTCTGGTCTTGACGTCGGAAAATGAAATGGAAATGTCGTTAATGACAAGTTTGAACTGTTTTGTATGTCGCTTACAATTTGTCTCAATAGATTTCGAGACGGGAGAGCTCGTCTTATCAGCAGCCGCAGCAGGTAGTTGCTTTATATCTACATATATATGTACCTGAGTAACTGTGCGGGTGTGCGAGTGCGCAAGTGTGTGTGCCTGTGTGCGTGAGTGCTGCTTCATAACACAAATGACTTCAACTCAAATTGTTGTTTGCTATTTGCTCGACATACATATGACGGCAACAAGCAAGTATTGAAGACACGTTTGCATTGGTATAGAGCAGATACGAGTGTTCTCTTCTTTTCAGTGGCTTTATCAACGAGCATGTCATGTTCTCCTCCTCTTCTTATATTTTTTTTTTTATATGTGGAGAAAAACCTCATAGTTTTCTTTGATGTTTGCCAGAGCCGTAGTGTCATTAATTGATTTATACTAACATCGATTGTCATAGAGTGTCCCTTAGCTGTCTGTCCAAATGTCCATCGATCTGTCAGTCTGTCAGTCTCCCTGTCTGTCCCTTGACACTGGATATCAATCGTGATCGATCTGTGAGTCGATTGCATTGGGTCATGCAGCAATTGCAACACCACATAATAGCCAACTAATTTCGAGAACAATTTGGTAATGTGTTTGCTCTTCTCTTGAGTTGTTGCTGTTGTTGTTGTTGTTGTTGCTGTTGGCATCTTGTTAGCATCGTGCTTTGAGATACCGACAAACATGCCACACAACTTACATTTAGTAAATTGAGATACAATTTAGTTAGTTGTGATAGGATTGCCAGCTTTTGGTTAGATCTTGTGTGGTGCTTTCCCATTGGATACACCTGTCACTGGCTGCTCTGGATGTTTATTCGTTTTGGGTTCTTGTTGACAGTGGGGAAAAAGCATACAGCTCGCATTTTGTCATGTGTGTACATTTGGTTGGTGTCTATTTATTCAGCTTGTGAATTGAATTTTTTTTTTTCTGCTAAACTCCAGTTGCTCGAGCGACACGTCTTGCCTTGACTAGTAGAATTGCATGAAATTGTCAATTGCGACGACTTTCGCCAGTTGCTGTGTAGCTTTTGTTGCTGGCCTCCAACACATCATGCATGATCAGATCGTATAGATTTTCCTCCTCTTTTGCGTCATCATCTCCCACATTTGCTTGACCGGCCAGCTGCTGTTTATTTGGTTTGCTGTTGCCTGTGTTTTTGTGCTCTTGTTTATTGAGGCTCGCCAATTCGTTTTTATAGTTCTCTAGAGCACGCTGCAGCAGCTTTTCGACTGGCGAATACGTAGAACGTGAGCGTAAACGGGCCTTTGCTATTTCTAAAGACTGTAAAACGATACATATATTAATTTACCTAAATCGATGTATTGAAAGTGGAATCACCTTTAGAGTATTCGCATTTCTCTGTAACGCTTCTTCGTAGGATAAAATTTTGTGCGACTGTGTGGCTGTTGCCTTCTCTGCCAATTTCTCGCTTTGACGTTCTAATTTTAGTTCCTCAGCTTGCCTGTAAGATGCACATTATTACACATTACACATTATTAAATATTTTTGAAAATCCGTTAAATTCGCTGCGAAAGAAAAATAACGACATCTATCGGTAATTATGTGTACTATAATGCCGTACTCTGAGTACTGTTAACCGGCAGTTATCGAGTTTTCTATTCAACATAAATATAAATAAAAATAAATGAAAAAATCAAGTTAACTTTGGAATTCATAGGGTTTACGAAGAGAAAAAAAAAATAAAAACTCAATTTTATAAATAGCCAAATTGTATGCTAGCTTTAATGACTAAAATATCTATAGAGTAGAGACACACTGGCCACCCGGCATATATTCTACGTAAATTTCAAATTGCAATTTCAATTTCACTTACACTTTTTCCAGTTTCTTATCAATCTCAGCCTCTAGTGCTTGATACTTTTCATTTATTTCTTTTATTAAATCCATTATAATGCGTCTAATTCGAGTAACTAAAACATTAAAGTCAAGCCAAACAAACACAAAAGGTTGCTAGGCAACGTTGTGTAATCAGTGTTGCCAAATTGTCAAAAAATGAAATATTTACAATGTTACCAAGAGAAACGTTTAAATTTTGTAATACTGGTTAAATTATAAAATATATAATTTCTAACTATTATAGTATGAAGCCTTCTACTTAATTAAAATCGTTAGCTCTAGGTTTAACACAATGCGTAAGATCAACTTACGTTAAATGTTCACTTTTTACGATAAATGTTAATCTGAGCAACTGAACAAATCGGGTATTTACATTTATCTGCTATTACTTATTTAAAAGAAATTGATTTATGTGCGGCGCCACTCGTTCGGGCGTCACCAGGTGCAGATGGTGTGTGCCCGGCACTTCCACGTAAACCACATGCTCAGCATGTTGCTTAAGTGTTGCAATTACCTCGGCATAAAATTCGGGCATTTCGAACTTCATGCCCGGCACTCCGCGAATGTTGAGCACTTTGCAACGAATCTGTCGTGCATAGGCCAGCGTCTGCTCTTTTGTGAATAGGCCCAGCAGGCTAACTTTGAGACGCAGATCACGGGAGAAGAGGTAGCCACCGTGATTGGGCTTCATGCCACGCCGCATCAAAACCCGCACAGACTCATCATCCACGGATCCATCGTAGGCATCTAAAACTAATTTGATCATCTCCTCATATGAGTAGCAGGGCTGTTTACTCTGCGGCAGCGTCTCATAGTCCAGAAACTTGTCCAACGCCTTGCCAGTGCCCTCGGCCATGCGGCTAACGCCCCTCACCGTTGGTCCAGCAATATCGATGTTGATCAGCTTGCACACCTCGTTGGGAAAGCTGGCCGCATACATGAAAGTAAGTGCGCCACCCAACGAGTGACCCAACAGCGTGACGTTCTTCCAATTGTACTTTCGCACAATGCGCCGGATCAGGCAGATGCCATCCCAGAAGATAAAGTACTGCATGCCCTGAGGATAGTGCGACGAGTGTCCATGCCCCGGCAAGTCAATGGCCAGCACTGAAACGTCCGCCGGCAGCAGTGGGCAGAGTCTATCGAATGAACCACAGTTATCCTGCCAGCCATGCAGCGCCAAAATCGGTTGCCTATTCCGTGAGCCCCACCATTTGCCTGTAAAATAAGACGTCATTAGAGATTGCATCTACATATATACATATGTATATATTTTAAATTATATAGTAAATTTACATGAGAAAGTCTCGTGAGTCGTTTAAGAAATTCCCTGACTCTGTTTTGTCTAAGGCGGAAATGTGATATGGATGCTAATCAGCTGATTATAACGAATACAGTTGAAATTTAGAGATGAGCACATCTCTTATATTTGACTAATCTATTAGAGCCAGAATATTTGATGAAATCTATAAGAACATAGTCTATCACTACAGGGTAATATCTCATCAGGTAGACTTGAACACGCGCAACTTGTTGTTGTTCCACGATACTTGTTGTTACACTATTGTTGTTGTTGCTGTGCTTGCTATTCAAATAATCCGCAATCGCAGCCATAGGAAGCGTGCGTCTATGAATCGTGTGTGCGCAGATAAGCTGATTGCCAGTGACTCAGCACAGCCATATTGAGCGTTAGAATTGAATGATGAAGCTTTTGCTCAACGACGTACCTGTAACAGTGCCCCAGGGCACATCAATGGAGAATTCCTCCCAGCTGTTTTCGCCCAACGTTGGCATTGAACCGTCTGAAAATATCAAATGAAAGTTTCGCATGAGCACGCATATGTTAATATAACAACAGGTTTGTGTGATATATTGCTTGTTGCTGGATTTGCTAGTTAGCTAATCACAGCTGGTTCATAAACGCTGGTGAAATCGCTGACTGTCTGGCTGTTGGTATCACACTTTGGACCACGGGTCGTAGCAATTGCCCAATTCACTCACTTGTATTGGCCGTCATTGCGTCGTTCAAAGAGGTTGCTGTTGCGACTCGCGCCTGTGCCATGCTTTGGAAGGGACGCCTCGGAGCGGATAGCGGAACACTCGTAAACAATGAAATTTCGCTACTGCTTCGGCAACAGTCTGTGCGGTTATTTTGTGTAAGCAATAACAGCAGTGTTAAGATAACATATTTGCGAAATGTTACTAACATCGTGCAGTTCGACCACTGTTAAACGAATAATCCATCTTTCTTAGATTTTGTTATAATCATAAATAAAACAACATATTTTAAAACTCGCACAGTAATTTCTTTGTGATATCAGCTGATAATAGGCATTCCTCTGGCTATAAAAACACATGCACTTAAATTTAGCTGCTGAACCATGCTGTGCAAATATTTGGAAAATTAACATTACCATTATGAGTAATTGTCTAACAAGAAATATGGAACCGCGAACTAGCTAACATTTTGGTTTTAAATAAATAACAAATATTGAATGAACTTAATAATATAAACAAGCGATAACAAATAAGTTACGTATCTTAAAATGTTAAATATTTTTCTAAAAGCTTTTAATTTTATGTTGTTACAGTAACAGTTACTATCTGCCATCTGCGCAGCACTATTTCGATCAACCACTCGCTTTACAACACTACTGCGTACAAGCAAAACAAATATAGAAGATTAAGTAAATAAACAGCATTTAATCAGAATGTAAGTAAATTAAAAATATTATTTATTGCTAATTGATTATAATATAATGAACAATTTTCTCACTTGTAGGACGGAGTACTGGAAATCAAATGAACGCAAGTATTGCGATTTCTGTAAATGCTGGTTAAGCGACAACAAAGCTGTAAGTAAATTTTTCAATAGAATGTAAAACTATGTGTAACAATGAAATTATTTATTCCAGAGTATTGCATTTCATGAAAGCGGCAAGCGACATAAGCTGAATGTGTCCAAGCGCATCACGGAAATCAGTCGCAATAGCGAAAAGTCGGAGCGGGAGAAGCAGAAAGTGGATGCACAGATTCGAAAAATGGAGGAAGCGGCCATGAAATCCTATGCGCAGGATATCCATGGCTACCATGGCGATATGACTGCACGTTCCATCAATACAGTGCTCAGTGCAACTGCCTCCAGCAGTGGCAGCAAACTGGGTCCGTATGGCAAGCCCCGACAAGTCGATCCAATGCGATTGGAGGGCGATTCCGACGAGGATGAAGATGGCCGACGAGTTAATGTGGATAAGGTCGCGGCTGAGACGGTGCCAAACGCATCCCTGTGGGTGGAAGGCAAATCGGATGAAGGCCACACGTACTATTGGAATGTGAAGACAAATGAATCTGTTTGGGAGCCACCGAAAGAGGGGTTTCTCTCCTATGCAGAATACGAGCGCATCAATCAATTAGCCATGGAGCAACAGGCGATGACGCAGGCGGAGGAATCGCTACGTTTTCGTGCCAATGCAGATGAGGAGGTGGCGCGTTTCAATCGCGAACGGCATGCGAAACTTTATCGCAAACCAGAGAACCCCAAGGAGAAGACTCAGAAGGAGGAGAAGAGGCAGCAGTTTAAAACTGAAGAGGAAGCGGCTACAAAGGAAATTGGCCAATGGCAGGTGGTGGAAACTAAGTACGTGTATTCTTGTTTTAACTATTTAACTATTATAACCATTAACTGTTTTAACTATTTACAACCATTTACAGACCACCTGAAGAGCCCATCGATTGGCAGCTACCGAAAACGGATTACTATGCGGTAGAACCTGTTGCTGCAGCCACGACAGAGCCCGAGCCACCTGTAAAACGCTTCAAGGAGAAAACCATATCAGGATTGGATGAGGAGACGGCCAGCAGTGCGCCCGCCACATTCAAAAAACGGAAATTTGCAAATAAAGGAAATGTGCGTAAACCATTAGCTGACTAAGAGCAGTACCTGTAGCTTATAATTAAATAAATTCTTTTAAATAAAACCTTTCCGTCCTATGTCGTTTGAAAAAGTATGCCATTGAAATCGCATTTAAGATTTGTAACATTTTTGTTGAGAATGCGAATTTGAATTGCAGCGCTGCCAACTGAACTTTTGGTATTTATAACGCCTGGTCAGCATAATAGTATTTTTTGGCTAACCCTGCTACGGTCACGCTGGCACAGTCAGTTCATTTTTCAAGTTTGCGACGTTTGGTTGTGTCGTGTGAATCGTCGGACGGGCGTCTCTTGCAGTTTGTTATTAAAAATTTGTTGTGCGCTTAATTCTGTTAATAACAACACTAATAACAGCAACAACAAATACGAAGACGAAGGCGCAGCGTGTGTGATTCATTGTATATTGTGGGTAATTGAGCGCAGCAGAGTGCGCTGCAAGAAGAGTGTAAATAAATTCAATTAATGTAAAAAGGAGAAAAAAATGAAAACCAGTGTTTGTTGAGTTTTGTCATCTAAGTGTGTGTGTGAGAAAGAGAAAGAGAGCAAAGAGTGCAGTGCCAAAGTTAAACGTAAACAATAATAAATAAATGAGTAAATATATTTGCTAGCTGCCTGATAAATTTGAACGCACAGAAATACACAGGCACGCACCAATACAGACACACACACATACACATATACATTCATATTTTGGTAATTGTATGTGTGTCGGCAGCGTTGGCAGCGGCAGTGGCGGCGGCGTTTGTTGTTCTCCTTTGTGATTTGCAGCTGAAGAAAGGTCAAGCGTTGCGTAAAGCGGTTGCACAAACGTACGCTCACACACACACACACACATAGACGCGCGCGTGTGTAACTGTTGTTTGGGACTCGAACGTGTTAGCGGTAAATCAGGCAAAATTCAGTTCGCTTACGTTTACAACAGCAGCGCTCCACACGCGGCCGACATTTATCAGCCCCATACGCGGTATAGCGGGAGCAACGCTAACGATTCGGACACAGAGTGGCTGGAGACGGAAGCAGGAAGCAAAGCAAAAGACGACAGCAACAGCGACAGCAGCAGCAGAAACAACAACAACGAAAGCAACAACAACAACAGCCGCAGCAACAACAACAATAGCAATAGCAACATGGCAGTGCGCAAAAAACAGGACGACAAATACCTGCTAGCACTGCGGGAGCTAGTTAACAGCGGGGCAGGCAATCGCCAGTGTTTCGATTGCAACCAAAAGGGGCCCACCTACGTGAACATGACCATCGGCTCGTTTGTCTGCACACGCTGTTCGGGTGTACTGTAAGTAGTAAAAACTACCTGTTCTCCATTTACACCATACACCAAAGTACGCACACACACGCACGCGTGCACATGTATATGACTATGCATATGCCACTCGTTACTTGCAATTTCTTAATCGTTACTTTTTGGCCATTAACCGTTACATGTGTTGGTTCAGTGTGAGTAGCAAGAATGGCATGAGCTTCTTATTAAGTTAACATTTCAAGTTATAAAGTTTAACAGTTGAAATGTAATAGTATTCGATACTTGTTAATCGCTCTTAAATAGTTATTACTGAACTTCTCCTAAAAGTTGTTATTGTAATTGGTAAAAATGACCTGTTCTCTATTCAGTTAATGTAAAAGTATCGCAATTAGCGGTATTCGCTGCACGCTGTAATGAATTGTTAGTAAACAATCGATATTCCTTTGAGTTGTTGCCTATCTAATTACCAATCTAATATGCGTTACTTTTGTATGCTTTCCTGTTGCTCGTTACTCGTTATAAGTAAATAAGTTAGATCTTGTTCCTGGCACTTAATGTAACATAAGCCGCGTCAAGGTATCCATCTATTACGTACCCCTAAGCACCTTCCTTAGAAATGCTCACATCAGCGCAGATAAGCTACAATCTGTGGTGGTCTCAAGTGATTGACCGATAATTTGGTTCGAATGCATTGACCTACCCGCAACAACAACAACATCACACAGATTAGACCTGCTTGCACCACAGGCGACTAAGAGGGAGAGACCGGTGGGGAAATTGGGGGTAAACGGGGGTGTGTGTGTGGCGCTCAGCGAAAGCGAAAGCAATTTCGTTTCACCAGTTTGAGTCAGGCCACCAATTTGGAAATGCAAATCGCAGACAAACTTTCAATTGACGTCGAACTCTGCCGTTGGTGCTGGCAGAGCCACTTGGTCTGAAAACAAATGAAATTATTTTGGCATTGGCGTTTCTAATTTGGACAGGCACGAATAAGAGGAAGATGTCTGGCTGCATACGTGCTTATGCTATTGAAAACAGTTCGAAATAGGATAGTTTGTCTAGGTATATATAAATAGATTGTTCGCAAACTGATCTAGTTCATATAATCATTGCAGTAGAATACTAATATGTTAAACGGTAATGCCATTTCATGAACTAAGAATGTAAAATGAACTAGCTCATTCATCAGCTCTTGGTTGTAGAAAGCTTATTCGCTTAATACACACGGAAAGAATAAAAGTAGGGTATTTAGCAGTCGGTTTATAGTAAACATATTCAATTCAATAGCTGGAAGCTCGCTTCATTATCAAAATCTTATTCGTTTAATATACACGGAAATAATATGGCGTATGCAAGGATAGGGTACTTAGCAGTCGGCAATCCGTAGCAAATTGCATCTATTTTGTTTTTCGCTTTACTTTTGTTGTCCTTGGCTCTAAACGCCAAATAATTGGCAAATTGGCTGCGATTTATGCGCTTTGCTGCACTATGCTCGAGCACTTTGTGCGATTAAATGCCAATTGAGGTCATCTCCTGGCACATTAGCTGCCTGACTGGCTGCCACCCGGCCACCCTGCCACCCTCCCTGCCTGATTAGTGGTCGGGGAGTTGTTGCCCACTTTTCGTGTGCTGTGTTTGTTTTTCCACTTGATTCACGCACTTCCGCTCTCACGCCCACCGCATTTGTGGCACTCTCCAGCTGCCCACTTCTCCCTTGCTCTCTCTCTCTCTCTCTCTCTCTCTCTCTCTCGACTCTTCGCTCCAAGTATCGTTTTCATTATTTGATTACTTTCAATCTGCCTGCTTCCGCACCGAGCACCGGGCAAATGGGTCCAGCTGATGCACATTCCATACGCAGATTGCGCCCCAGTTTCTCCACTGCGTAACTAGTTATKTTTGTTGTTGTTGTGGTCATATTTCACCTCAATTGGGTTGCATGCGGGCGCTCGCTGCGTTCTGCTCGCTCTCATTTGCCTATCGATCAACGATAACATTTACACGCTTTTTTGCGACCAAAGTAAATGGCACTTTATAACGGTATTATTTAAATACTGATAGGGGTATATCAGCTTTGTGGTTAAATATATAGAGATTTGTAGCTTATTATTCAAATATATGCCCTTTTATACCAATTGGTATATATTATTCTTAATAATTTTGAAAAACAAAATGGGAAATTGTAAAATAATATCTTAATCAAACATATTAAGTATATATCATATAGTTATTTTGTAAATGCCTCTTAGGGTATTCGGTCGTCGTTACATTGAGCATATAACTGCTCATTCTTGTTTTGCATGCGACCAAAGTCTGTGGCACTTTCCTTCGGTATTTTGTTGTTGTTGTTTTTTGTATTTCTTTGGCATTCATGACAAGTCGTCGCAGCATATGTAAATTATATTGAATGCAGCTTTTAAAGAGCTAAAGCTGGCGCTGCATTGGCCAATGCTCCCCAGCAGCGTTTTGCATGACTCACTCGAGTGCCCGCTCTTCCACTCTTCTCTCTCCTTCTCCTCCTTTAAGTTGCAGGCGAAATAAATAAGTATTACGACTATGTAAATGGAAAGCCGCATAAATGCCTCTTGGCTGGCCCTTTGGGCATGACAAACAGGCGGACAGACGGACAGACGGACAGCCATACAGACGAACAGCAGCGACACAACGAACTCCACTTAACTGCACTGTAACCCTTCCAACATTCTTTACCCCGTCCGCCCCCCGTTCGTCCCTTTGTCTGCAGCAAACAAAAGGAACTCAAAGTCCAATACGAAATTGTTGTGCATGTTCAATGCTGCAATGTTTCCTGTCTCGTCTGGCAACAGTTCACCTCGTTCAGTTCAGCGCCCACCTCTTCGCATTTACGCCTGTTCTCCTGTTCGCCCGTTTCGCCTCATTCTGTGGCAGGAACGGCTGCCATTCAGTCGCATTTTAGCTTTGGCTTTCAGCTTGGTGTTGCATACCGGCCGGCCCGCTCGACATGGCTGCAATGGCGAAAAACCTGTCAAACGGCTTTTGAAAGTATTTTTGGGCCAGTTGCTGCGGTTGCTGCTGCTGCTGCTGCTGCTGCTGCTGCTGTTGCCGCTGTGGCACTGGCAATTGCAGACAAATTGTTGCACCTCAATCGCGCAGCAGTCGCTACCATCTGGTGGGCAGCAGCATTTGGCTGGCAAAGCAACTTGTTGATTAGATAAGCCACCAAGCATATGCGCACACAGCCAATACGGCCAATGCTGGCAGTTCCGCTTTTATTTTAACGTTAAAACTAGCTGCATTTTGAACTAAATTTGTGCTAATTGCTTGATACGGCAATTCCAGCTAATACAATTTTATACAAAATGTCCGCAAATGTTATCATTTAATTTTAGATTAATACAAACAAGTATTGCTCACACTTGATTTTGAAAATGTAGCACACAGCGTTGACCATGCCGAGGATTATAAATAAATAAAAGAAGCAAAATCTCATTAGCTATTTTTGCTCTTCTCATTTACTTTTTACTTTTCTCATTTTTCTTCTTCTTGTCATTTTATATAATATAACAATCAAAGAGCAAAAAATAATGTAAAATATTCTATATATAGTTGGAATGCTTTCAAAAAGATCAACACTTTTTAGTTATTTTCCTTGTTGTTTTCTTTTTCAATAAAACTTTGTGCTTTTTACTAAGTTTTTCTTCTCAAAAAGTGGCAGCACTGGCTCTCCAGTCAGTCAAACACAGCAGTCGCCTCTTTTCCAGCCGTACTTGCACTCTCTCCGCTCCCCCTCTCTCCAGTTTCA